AACCAAAGAACCTTCCCGGCGCCACCCCACCCAGCCATACGATACATTCACCTCTTGACCCGCTATCGAACTGAGGTCTTCGCTTCCTGCCTGTGTCGATGGACACGGTTATCTTTCCTCCTGCAGTGATCAAGAGATATTTAAGGAAACCGTCAACCCAAATTAGAACTTTTCCCACTGATTAAAAAAATACTCAAGGCAGGTCCAATTCATTTCTCCATCCCCAGACTTCCTCTCCACGTCGCTCCCCTCCCCACTCCAAATAAAGTGTGCAATTAGAATTATTAGTTGTTCAAAACCCTAAGGTAAGGCATGGTTATCCCGCAGTTGGAAGCCGATGGGGGAGCCCGTTAAGACACCCAGAGGAAATAAGCAACTTCATCCAGGTCGACCGGATAGTCCGTCAGCAGGACCGGGGTCTTCTCAAACAGCTCCCCTTTGTAACTGCGCCACTTCCCGGCGGGGAGGTACACGTCGCGCTCTTGCTTCCCCAGCTCCAGCACTGGGGCCACCATGAGCGTGTCCCCGATGAGGAACTGGGAGTCGATTTTGTGGGCGGATTCGTCGCTCGGGGAAATCCACCAGATGGGCCGGATGATGGGGTCCCCCGTGTCCGTGATCTCCCCGGCCAGCTCCAGCAGCAGAGGGGCGACCAGGGACTCGTGCAGCTCCGTGAACCTCTGCGCAATCTCGATCACCTCCTTGTCATAGAGCCAGGGCGGGATGGAGAACTGCATGGAGGGCATGAAGGCCGACAGCTCCAGCCAGCGGATGTACAGCTCCCGGTCGGGGATTTCAACTGCTCCTTCTGTCTTGTTCGGGAAAAAGTTGCCCCCGATCATGTCCGCCGAAATGAAAGGATACCCCAGCATGCTGATGGTGAGCACGGTCGGGATGAGGGACTTGAGGCCGAGCTCGTAGCCCCACACTGAGTCGCGGTCGATGATGCGGAAGAAGCACGATATGTTCTGGGACTGGTAGCCGACACGAACCTCGGCCAGCTCGTAGAAGGGGATGGCCATTTCGGTGTACCGGCGGGACCAGATGCTGGGGTCCGACAAGGGCCGGAAGGTGCTGAACTGCTTCGGGAGGTAGCTCGTCTCTCCGGCGTCGAACTTAAAGGAGGAGATGCCGTACTTTGAGCGCAGCTGCCGCAGGTGGCTCTGAAACCACTCCCTGGCCGCTGGGTTGGTGAAGTCCAGGATGGCCCCGATGCCGTTCCACCACTCCACCATGGCGGGGAGTCTCCCCGTCGGCTCCTTGATGAACAGCTGCCTCTCTATCCCCACGCCAAAGTTGGAGGAGTTGTAGTTGATGAAGGGATGAGTCCACAGGGTCACTTTAAACCCGTCTTCTTTCAGTTTCTTGAACATTTCCGTCACGTTGGGGAATTTCTGAGGATTGAAGTCGAAGTCGCCGTAAGCCTGCGTGTAGGTGTCATCGATTTCGATATGGCTGCAATTAAAACGGTATTTCTTAATCTTCTCTGCAAAGCGCAGGAGCTTGTCCTGGTCGATGTCGTTTTTGTACAGGGCCCAGGTGGACCAGATCGGGTAGCGGAAGGCGTTTTCCGACGGGATCTTGGACGGCTTGTTGAAATACCTCCGCACCATGTACTTGTGAATGGAGGTCACGTCCGAGCCGACGCACACCCTGTAGCTCAGCTCCGGGAAGGGCTGCTGCCCCAGGGGAGGCTTGTAGGGCGAATCCTTGTAGCGGGCCTGGAAGAAAAGGGACCGCTCGGTGGCGTTGAACCCCAGGTGGAAGGGCACCGAGTCGTTGATCTTGATGGCGGCCGCCTTCGAGGACAGCCAGTACCGCTCCAGGATGCCCCCGAAGCTGTCCCGGAAGGAGTACACGTCGCTCGTCATGAAGGGCGTGGGCTCCTGGTAGCCCGGGAGCCGGATGGGCCAGTGCTGCACGCTCATCTCGCAGCCCCCGTACCAGTGCGCGTCCTCCCAGAACATGGTGTGCTCCACCACCGTGTCGGCCACGAACTCCTCCCAGCGCACGCGGTAGCACATCACCGTGTCCTTGTGCTTGACGGTCTGGATGAAGAAGTTCAGCTTCCCCTTGTCCGACCGGGTGCAGGTTAAGATCTCCCCTTCCTTGGAGCAGGACTCCAGGTCGAGGGTGCCCGACTGGAAGGCCAGTCTGAAGACCACCTCCCCGTCCTGGTTCTTGATGATGAAGCCGTCCTTCCTCAAGTCCATCAGCTCCGTCTTCAGCTGCTCCGCCTTCCTGAGCGACGCCGTGTAGTAGCACCACGCCACCACCGCCGCGATGAACAACAGGAGCCCCACGGTTATCGTCCCAATCATGGGCCGCAGCTCCTTGGATGCCTTCTGTTTGATGGGGGTGAAGTTTTCGGGTAGGAACGTATACATGATGCTATCCTTTCTGTACAGCGTTTGCCTAAATGAAAGGATAACTGGCTTTCTGTCAAGCCCGGGTCTGGAGATCTTGTGGATGGGAAAGGGCTTGTTTCTCACAGTGGGATGCCTCTCTGGATCTCCGGGTAAGTGGGTTAGGAAGCCAGCGGTTCTTCCCACTCCAAATCCATTCAATCCTCGGTGTCTGAAATAGAAAGGAGGAGGAGATTTAAGCACTGCTCCAATGGATCTGTATCAGTCATGGTCACGGCTAAGGTCCAACCGAGCACATGGCCCCAGCGTTTTGGTACAGACACCGAGAATGAGACTCTGAGCTCGTAATGGAAACCCAACCCCTAACCAAGAATCAGCACTTATAGGACCCATGTGACACGTGGATGAAAAGGACCAGATCTGTCCCGAAGAAGGCAGTGGGTCATGCAGATGTACCCTAAATCAATTCATCAGTGCACATGAAAGAGCACTGGTATATTTAAGTTTTTGAGGGTTTTTTTCCAGCAAGCAGACTACTATATTTTACCCCCTCTGGGATTTAGGGGTTAACTTTCAACAGGTCTGTTAGGGCAGGTTGGAGCGAGGTGTACTCTACCCCTGCACTTGGCATCGGCACAAGTCTCTCTCCGCTGCCCGCAGACCTGCCTGGGGCTGAGCGGCTCATTATCCTAGCTGTCACATTTTATGGCATGCTTGGGGCCGTTACAGCTAAGTGCAAATGAACAGACATGCATGGGCGAAAGCTGATCGCTTGCTAACGAGTAGGCAGATCTGTATGGTTTGCTCACAAAACCCACGGTCAGTAAGCTGTTAGCATCCTTCCCGGGCGGTGCTAACTGGCAGGGCTATACACAGTTGTGTGATGATCTCTAAGCAATGTGGCTTTCTATCTCCGGCTGTCTCCACTCTGGATTTAACTCAGATTAGCTGCACTCGCCTTAACTCTTATTGTGCAGGGTGTATTATCACCCTGGGTGATTTTATCAGGGCATGTGTATTAGCACCAGATGAGCTGTGCTAATGCAAGACACTGTCATCTCAAGGTTAAAGCTCCCCCACTGAAGACCGAGGCCGGCGGGCGCGGATGGGGTCCTGCCTATCGCTTGCATTCACCATGCACTCAAGATAAACCCTGGAAGTATAGTTTAAGGGAGACTTATTGCACCTTGAGCCATCATTACGGATGCACAAGAAGGAAGAGAAATGCCGCTCTCCCGTGGACAAATGTCCAGTCGCTCAGGGCGGAGTGGGGGAGAGGACAGGGATTGCAGAAAATGAATGCTTCAGAGCTTTTACAGGCTTTTCCTCTTGGGCACCTGAGCTCCAGTTTGTGCAGGTCCTGCCTCTGGCTCCGCTCCAGCTGGCTATAGTCTGAGCAGAGGCAGCCAAGGGCAGGTTGTTATAATCCTGTTCTCTGATGCAGAGATGCCAAGATCCTCGTGGATCCTGCCCGGCTGCCAGCTTGCTCTGCCCGGCCAAGCGCAGCTCAGGGGGGCAAAGGAAAGGACACGCCAAGCAAGAAGAGAGAAGGCAGGAGCCCAGGAACAGCGGAGCCGGGAAGGAGAGCTGCAAACAGGCAGCCGGAGGGGGAGGGCTGGGGTTGGGCAGCAGGACCGGCCATCAGGTACCATCCGGTTAGCTGTCCGTGGCCAAACACAAGCCCAGGTATTTCTCACCCACGGTCCCCATCCCCTCACTGGCCCTTGGTGAATCTCAGCTGGAGAGATGCCATCTTTGTTGAGTAAAAAAAATCAGGAAAATAGGCTTTCCTTCCAAGGGATAGTTTGATTAAAGGAAAGAGGCTGCTTCCCTAAAATCTGTCTTTAGAAGAAAGTTCTCACGTGGAAAATAATGAAACGTCTGGTTTTCTTCCTCACGGAAACTTAACTTTCCCCACGTTACTTCTGCACTGCTTCAAAACAAGAGTGCATCCCCTATTGAAAAAATGCGATCAGACGGGATCTCGCTCCCCATCCCATTCCCCGTGACATATTCCCACGTCCCCAAGCCCCGATGGGACAGATGGTGGCTCGAAGGTCTTCCACGACTCTCTTATTTGGGGGTCCGAAGGCAGCTGACGAGGTTGATTTGGGATCGACAGACTGCTGCAACTCGGGCACTTGTTTCCATGCGGGGTCGGTGGCTCCGGACTCTTGATAATGGAAATAAGCCGGGCCAGCAGCTCCCAAACGGTGGTCTGCAGATGACTGGTGATCCGTCCGGACACAGCAAGTGGATCACAGCCAGTCTACAGACTGCATCTCTATAGACCCTCCTCTCCTTCTGTGCAATCAAAAGTCTTGTGCTAAGTAAGCATGCTGCTCAGTAAGACACTTAAAGGCTGTCAGCGGGTCTAAAACGTGCGAGAAACCCTGAGCTTTGGGAATACAACCATCCGCAGGGAGGGAAGGCAGGTGCAGCAGGTGTCCTGGGTTACAGCGTCTGCCGGGTCCCTCGTGCTTTAGAAGAGAAAACGCAGCTTACAAGTTGAGCAGGGAACTGGGGTCAGGACTTCTGGCTCCGATTTCCAGCTCTGTTGCTCACCTGCTGGACAGCTTCGGAGCAAGGCACTTCTGCTTCCTGCACCTGAGCATCTCCTCCTCTAAAACGGGATGAACGAACTTGCTCGTCTCACAGGAGCAGAAGGACCGTTGGGAAACAGGGCACAGAGCCTGGCCGCAGAGGACCAGGGCTCCTCCGGAGACCTGCTCTGCAACCAGCAGTCCCGCACGCCTGGCCTGAACGTGCTTGCAAAAAGCTTACAGGCCATCCTCAAGGCCAAGCCTGCCCGAGGCTGAGGATCAAAGCCTGCAGCGTGCTTCCAGCTGCTCCAAGGTTTAAAAAGTAAAGGCCTGATAGATTTTCCCCCCTCCAGGGTGGTCTTCACCCCAGCACCAGAGCACCTTGCGATTCCTGTGGAGCAGGAAAGTTTTAGCCTTGTTTACAAATGGGAAGATGAAGCACGGGGTAGACTAAAGGCCATGCCCAGGGTCACACAGGGAGCCTGTGGCAGAGCAGCAAGAGGGAAACAGTGGGCCCGGGACCTGGAGGGAACGCGAGGTTCATAAGACAGCAGAAGGACACAAAGTCTGGGCTGACACAGCCCTTTCCTCCCTCCCCCAGAAGGTCCTTACCTTCCTGGCCTCCTAGTAGGTTTAAATGGGATTAGGGTAGAATTAAAGGCTGATTACACTGAACGAGCGATAGGTTTAATTGAGCGATAGGCTCCCCAGAGCCCCGGCTTCCTCCACATATGGACTCGAGGATGGCATTACAGGTGGAGGGAAAGGGCAGCTAGATTATCTTTAAGCCTTCAGGTAGTAGGAGCCCTAAAGCCCGGCATGCCTGCAAATGAGCCTTATGGAGGTGCACCCCTGTCCAAGGTAGGATGGAGCCTGGGTGAGCGTCGCGGGGATTTCTCCCTCCTCTCTGAAGCAAGCATTGCCCCCAGTTGAAAGTAAAACTGAGACAGGCCCATCCTCACAGTTCGGTGACCCTCCAGGCAGGCATGTCACAGCCAAGCGTGACACGAGTGTCTCTGAGTGCCCATGACATCCCTGCTCCAACTTGCAGGAGCGCTGGGGCTCACATAAGGGCACGCATCTTGCCGGGTGCCTTCGGACAGTTAATTGTAGGCAAAGTAGCTCTGGAGAGAACAGGGTGCGAGGCAGTGCCCTTGCAAACAGGCAGGCACGCTGCGGTGCGAGGGGTGCGAGGCAGTGCCCTTGCAAACAGGCAGGCACGCTGCGGTGCAAGGGGTGCGAGGCAGTGCCCTTGCAAGCAGGCAGGCACGCTGCAGTGCAAGGGGTGCGAGGCAGTGCCCTTGCAAACAGGCAGGCACGCTGCGGTGCAAGGGGTGCGAGGCACTGCCCTTGCAAACAGGCAGGCACGCTGCGGTGCAAGGGGTGCGAGGCAGTGCCCTTGCAAACAGGCAGGCACGCTGCGGTGTAAGGGGCGCGAGGTAGCGGCCCTGCGAGCAGGCAACAGATGAAACGGGGGGCACTTGCCGGGTGCCTTCGGACAGTTAATTGTAGGCAAAGTAGCTCTGGAGAGAACAGGGTGCGAGGCAGTGCCCTTGCAAACAGGCAGGCACGCTGCGGTGCGAGGGGTGCGAGGCAGTGCCCTTTTGTACAGACAGGAGCGCTGCAGTGCAAGGGGTGCGAGGCAGTGCCCTTGCAAACAGGCAGGCACGCTGCGGTGCAAGGGGTGCAAGGCAGTGCCCTTGCAAACAGGCAGGCACGCTGCGGTGCAAGGGGTGCGAGGCAGTGCCCTTGCAAACAGGCAGGCACACTGCAGTGCAAGGGGTGCGAGGCAGTGCCCTTGCAAACAGGCAGGCACGCTGCGGTGTAAGGGGCTCGGGATGACTGAGCCCTGGGTAGCACACAGATGAAACGGGGGGCACAGTGGCGAGACGGGTGCATGCACCCTTCCCCTTGCTTTCAGCATCTTGCTTCTGCTTGAGCAGACATGGGTTTTGTAGTTCATCTTACAGGCAAGGCAGGCGAAGGAGTGTCGGGGTGAGGGAGATCGCGGGGAGGAGGAGGGTTCAAAGGAGCGGGGTTTCTGATGCAGGGGGCTGACAAGGAAAGTTGTGCCTGGGGAAAATCGTGGAAGACATGGAGTTATAACCGTGGCATCGGCATCTCTATCTACAGACAGGGCGGGAACTTCCTCGTACTGTTTATACACAACCTGCAGTGGAGGTAGAGCGGCTGCCTTGAGATCCGGGATTGCTACACGGGCCTCGGGGCTGTTGCTGCCTCCCAGCTGCTGTTGAAGTGCAGCCAGCTCTGGGCAGGGATCACACTGTTTCCACCAGGGAACGCTTTGCTTTTGCTCATTATTTTCCCTGAATCTAAAACAAAACAAAAACACCCTCCCTGCCGCAGCCGCAGCCGCAGAGTCGGCACTTGCCCTTTGCAGTTGGAAACAAAAGCTCCACCAGCCGCAAAGGCCCCGTCACCGTCCAGGCAAAACCTCAGCGCGGTGTCAGGCACTGACGATTTCTCCCTCTGCTGTAACGAGACCCGGGCTCACAGCAGCTGTGAATAATGGGCTCCTGAAGATGGAGAGGTGTCAACAGGTTTTTTAGAGCTCAGGTTATAAATATAATCCCATTTACAAATGAAAGTCAAGGGCCAGAAGGCCAAAAAGAGGGCTTAGGGTTTGGGTAAGCAAATGCAAATGCAATGGGGAAAATGCAAATGCAATGGGTAAGAAAATGCTAGAATATGTCTAACTCAAGCTGCGTGCAACCATGTCTGGGAAGAGACCCCTTTCATCCTAACGAGTCACATTAAAATAAGCTCTGGGAACCCCCGTCAAAGATCAGAGCCTCGGGGTGCTAGGGGCTGTGTCGTAACCAAGCCAAAAGTCCCAGCTCCAGCCCACTCGGGCGCATGAACGCCACCCAGCTCAGGGAGGTGGAGGTGGCAGTCGGATGGACGGCAGAGGGGAAAGCTTTGCTCTGGAGTCAGGGAAGGCTATATTCTACGCCAGCCTTGAGCAAGGACAGCTTGCCTGGGTCTGATCATGCTCTCAACCTGGCTCTCAGCCTAAAAGCTCTCGGGATGCCAGCAACAAATGGGAGAAAAAGAAAACAGCTCCCAGAGCCAGAGAGCTCATGTGCTTTATGCAAAGTTTCCTGCGATCCAGAAGCGGGAGGAAGAGTGGGGTGGGGTTCGACTCCTGGCCCGTCTCAGAATAGCAGAGCTCTGTGTCATCTGCTCCCCGGGCTCCTCTTCGCTTGCGGAAGAAACCGATGCTGGCGGTAGCCGGGGTGGGGGAGAGCTGTGTGACAAGCCCTTGCCCACACGTCCCAAATTAGCCTCCCAGAGATTTGCCATCAGCAAGTGCAGGAAAGCAAAACAAACAAGCAAAGCCACCCCCGGGCAAGCTGACTGCGGAGGCCTGGCTCTGCTAGGGGAGCGTTAGCCTCCAGGAGAGGAAAGGAGGGGACTTTTCTCACACACGCCGGCCGTGTCTACACGTGCATTTACGCTGGCTTAAACTTACTGCGCAGTAAGTTACTGTGGGAATCGGCCGGCATCTACACGTGCAGGTGTTAAAGCACATTAATGCTGTGTGAACTGACTTGGGACTCAAGTTGGTCCCAAGTCAGTCCACACACACAGTGTTACTGCGCAGTAAGGCATCTACATGTGCACTACTGCACAGTAACTAATCAGGCGTAAATTTGATATCTGCATAACGCAGGTATCAAATTTACGATCAAGTCAGCGTAAGTCGCCATAGTTACTGCACGGTACGGGCATGCACGTGTAGACATGTGCCCGTACTGTGCAGTAATTTGGATTATGGAGCAGTCAATGTGTGTGTGTAGACGCGCCCACAGAGTTTCAGTCACACAAACCCTGGAGAGTTGGGGACTGTCAGAGTTTGGCTGTGGGTGCAAGAGGGGTCAGCATGGACCGTGCTATGGACGGCTTTGGAGAAAGGGCCAAACGCAGGAGACGCAGCACTTCAGAGAGGCTTCTCTCTATGGGAAATACAGGCCTGCATCTGATGTCGGCCTGTCTCTCCACTGGGTTTTATCACGAGTTTCCCAGGGAGCTAAGGCAGGCCGCAGCCTGGAGTCAGACTCTGGGCTTTTTGAACGTCTTGGCTTTTGCATGCAAGAGGCGGAGGCCTCTCCATCACCCTGGAAGGACACCACCAGCAATGCTCTGGCCCCAGGACGCGGAAGAGCTCGGCTTCCCCAGGAGCTTGGTTCCCTTTTTCTAGAAGCGCTGGCTACACTGAGTCAGGGCAACCGTTTGTATGGAGTAAGAGGACGTGGCCCTAGTGAACCAGCATCACGTGCTGCCACGCGTGAAAAATAAATCATAGGAAAACAAGGCCGGAAGAGACCCCCCCCCAGCCCAAACACATCTGCAGGAAGGAAGTGGGTAAAGGAAACCGCGCCGCAGACACCCCCGCCCCAACAGGAAAGACAAATAGGAAGGGCACTTGAACTCCCCGGAGGCCTGGAGACCTGCAGAGCAGCCACCCAAAGATTCGGCCAAAGCGGGGACCTCTGGCCGCTCAGAGACGCCCTTACAGCTTGGAGCGGACTTTCTCAGCCAGGTGCCGGGCTATCTGCCCCAACCCTTCCCTTCCCCTCCCCTCCGTTCCTCCACCTCCCCTACGCTGCCCCCCTGCGCCCCGTCTCTCCGCTTCATGCCATTTAGCTGATGCCCTCCGAAAACAGCGCTGCGGGGCTCCGTGCCATTGGCTATTTGTCGTATCCCGTGGCCATACCCTGGGCCTGTTTTTCTATTGGTATGGTAAGCTCTTTCCAGCAGGGATCATCCACTTCTCTGTCTGAACAGCACCTGGCACAGTGGGCACCCATGCATAGTCGGTCCCTTGGCCAAGTCATCCCTAACCTTCACCAGCCCACGGCTAACGTCCCTGGGTCGCAGGATGCAGCAACAACAGCACACGCTGTGCTCCTCGCCAACCTCCGTTTCAATTTCCCAGGCTCAAGACTTATACCAGAGGGGCTCCGAAGCCGCACGCTGTCCGCAAGGCATGAACCGGGGGCCGCTGCGGTAGGCATAATCCTGACAAATACGATGAGCAACCTTGGAAACCGATGTGAGCAGCGTCACGGCTCGCTTGGATACTGCCAGAGGCTTTGAAGTGCTGAATCTCGTTTCGGCTCCTTCAAGGGCACGGGCAGCCGTCTATTTTTACCAGCTGGAAGAAAAAAATAAAGCCTTCCAGTCGGTGCCTGGTGTCTGGGACGTATCAAAGGTGTCCGTTCTGCCCTCGCCTTGGGAACACGTCACTCCCGGGTGACCCTGGTGCTGGATTCCTTTCACCTGAAGATCTCTTTATCCCATCTGTGATATTTTGGGAGTGCAAAATGGTTTGTGCTGCTTTTGAAACTCACTTGACATGAAAAGTGTAGCGCTGAAATCCAAACCAAGCGTTTTGAATGGAAACAAAACCGCACGTTTCAGAGGAGCCCCAAGCGAAACCCTTCTTGCATTTCATTTCGTGAAAGATGCTGCCTTTCTTCACCCCGATTTTCAATGGAAAAATATTCCGGGGTCGTAACATTTTTCCCGGGACAAGATCGCCGTTCTCCGAACAGCTGGAGTTGCACCTCTCTCATTGCTGGGGTCACCTTAGTTTTTATTTGGCAACAGCACTAACCTTGATGTAGCCTGTAATTAGGTCAGGTTAGCTGGCCTTGCCTGGCTGGGTAGGATAAATCAGGTCTCAACTGCTCGGGAGGCAGGCTGCCCTGTGCCGACGAAGCACGCTGCCCAACACGCCACCAGCGAGACAAAAGAGGAAATCCACCCCTTGACCCGAATGAAGCAAGAATTGTGCTTAAGCCATATACGGCTTCGAGAGGCCATTTAGCAACAGACCTTTACACTCTCAGGCGCCACGTTTACCCCGGACCCTTCAAAGTCTGGAGCCACGGGACAGAATAAAGGCTCTGCGCAGCTCATTCGGGTGGGCTTGACCCCCGCTGCAAAAGGCTGGCGTGAAACGTATGCATTGCCGAAGCTCTCCGAAGTGAAGCGCCGGAGTGAATTACACCCACGGGGATCGGGTAACCGGGAGCGCTGGGTGTGCAAGACGTGTCACTTGAGCACTGAAGCTCAGCCGCCGAACTGCTCTGCCCGTCAGTTCCCGGCTGTCGGACTTCCCATCTCTGCACCCGCATCGCCCTGGGGAAAGCTGGGGCCGCAGCAATGAGTGGGCAGTAGTCCCAGGACCTCAGCATCCAAACGAAAAGCCCCTTCCACTTGAGCAGCGCCTTTCATGAGAAATTAATATCAGCGTGATAGGATCGGTCTCTGTGGAGAAATGCAACCACTTGGATAAACCTATGTATCATCCTTGCACCTGGAGATGTAGACCCAGAGGATCCTGGGGGGAGAAAGGATCTCACAGATCCTCTAGTTCAACCCACTTCTCAGAGGCCTCACCCCTAGGTACTGCTTCCTAGGAACAGCAAGGGCCCTCGTGTCCCTACCAAGGTGCCTTTTTGGGTGATGACCCTTTGCGTTGCAAAAAAGAAGCCAAGCCTTTGCTGGTTGCAATGGCTTCGATGGGGCTGTGCTGCTTTCCGGGCTCCCGGCAGGTGCTTCATGCCTCCTGTCTGAGTGATGCTTTCTAGCGAGAGGCCAGCAAACTGGTTATCCCCCCCACCCCGCCATGCACACACTGCCCCAGCCTTTCCATCACCGGGGCACTACCCAGCAGCTGCGCCAGCCACCACCACCTGCTCTTGGTGACCCCAGCGTGCTGGCACCACCTCGCAGGCTGCTAGTGAAACCCTAGCACGACCCACACGGCATGGCCCTCACCCTTTAAATACCTCCCTGCAAATCCCTGGGTCTCGAGGCCACCTGGCCCCCAGAAATGTAGGTCTGTGTATTTTAAGCAGTTTAAAAATAAGCCCGGCTAAGATTCCACTTCCTGGGGCCGGGCGGCCTCATCTTTCCGATCGCCGATAAGCGTGTGCTCCCGTGCTGGCGGACACCCAGGCCAGGCCGCGGGCAGACAGCAGTGCATGGAGAGCGCGTGTGTGGAGCTGGGATGGTGCAAGGCGCCCGGCGTGACGTGCACCGCGCACGGTAACAGCACAGCTTCTCCGGGAGCAGCGTTCAGCTTTGTCTCGCAAAACAGCCCATGCCTTTTCACACAGGCCTTCTCTAGAAACTTCACGCATCTCTTCCCATCACAGAAACCTCGCTGCTGCGGGGCAGGGCTGCCAGCCAGCTGCCGCCCCACTCCGTAAAGCACCGTCTCCTGGAGTCAAGGGATCCCAGGAGCCCCGCGCTTTCAGTTTCTCCAAAGGAGCACATGCTGCTCCTTCCAGTTATGGAGGGGGGCCTGAAGTGGGGCCAAAAATCAGACAGCAAATCAAGAGAACCTCAGAATTAATATCTCCCCCATGAGGTTTTACCCAATCCTCTGATTTTTGAATGCTTGATGCTGGCACTGCTGAGCATACAGCTGCTTTGGGTATGAGAACAAACACCTCCTGCGGTGCGGGCCAGTTAGCAAACCAGGGCAGCCTGCTCTTAAAGACAGCAATGACCCTGCTACAGACCATCTACATGCATGTCCTGTCTCTGCAGGAGGGGACACTGCTGGATCACACGGGCACAGGGGTGAGGGACAGAAGGGGCAGCTACTTTGGGTTGCCATTGCCCACTCCACAGGATGCTTGCCCCCACAGAGGGCCCTATATATATATATATATATATATATATATATGTATGTATGTATGTATGTATGTGGAGGCAGTGGTCCCTGTGGGACCAGGCAAGCTTGCAAGAATAGCTGACAGCCAAAGCTCTGCACAGTCCAGGTCTGTCCTAGGGACTGACCTGTGCTCTGTGGTCCAATTCTGCACCCCAGTACAAGCTACTGCAAACAGACCGCCCAAGCTGCTTTATAGTCCTGCTTAAACACCTGATCAGAGAGCTAAGAAAATAAAAAAGGAAACAGTCTGATTGAACCAGTGATAAAGGCGGCTTTATCTATGACCCTAGCACCTTCTTAATGATCCAAAACAAGTTTTAACAAGATGGATTTCCTTTTAACCATGAGCGTCATCTGCTGTGCTGCCAACTCTCCAGCTTTTCACAGTATTGCTTAGTTTTCAGAGCCATCCATCTCCTGGGGCACTGTTATCATGTGAAAAATCCCATTTTATTAAAGGAGTAAGTGTCTTGCCTTTCTCATTGCGGAGGGGGAACAAGACCGTGGAAAACATGAATCCTAAAGGCTGAAGAAAAAGCAAGCAAAGCACCTGCAACTGTGAGAGCTGCGTCCCTCCAATTAAGAGCACTTGTGGAGGCTTGGGGTTGGCAAGTTTGCACTGCCAAATCTGTCTACCTCATTTCTGCCCGTGCAAGCCAGTGGATCGCAACTCGAGGCGCCTCTCACTAGACTCCAGGCACCCCCTCGGAAAATGCCAGCACCGTTTTCACTCGCTTTTTTGAGCGCAGATAAATACGAGAGCAATGCTTGTGTTGCAGAAGAACGCAGATAGATCACAACAGATCAGAACAGCTTTAACACGCCGGATTGCTATAGGGAGTCTCTGGGTTGATCTTGCGAATCATGTTTGTACACTGAACGGTGGTAACACTGCGTGCCAGCCTGCAGCACCCTTGAACGGATCTCAAGGCACCCCGATTAAGAATCATTGGTGTAAATATTGAATCGCAGAAAATGAGGGCTGGCTCAGGAGGTCACATCCAGTCCAACCCCCTGCTCCAAGCAGGACCAGCCCCAACTACATCATCCCAGCCAAGGCTTTGTCTACCCGGGGCTTCAAAACCTCCGAGGATGAAGACTGCACCACCTCTCTGGGGAGCCTGGTCCAGTGCTTTACTGTCCTAGTGAGAAAGTTTTCCCTTATATCTAAACAGTTGAATTTGCCAGTTTTAAGGTCCACAGCTAGGGAATTTCACCTGCTGCTTTTTGCTCCTTGCCTTAATAGGACAATGCAGGGAATCCCTCTCCTTCCCCAGAGGCCCTGTAATGGGGTGGGGCGGGCCAGCCCTGTTCAATTAATGCTGATTGCTGCACCCAGCCTGGGCTGTGTGCTGGAGGAAGCAGCTGGAGGGTGGGAAGGCAGCTTCTGTGAGGAGTAAGTATGCTGGTAGACTGGGAATAGTGGAGACTCCCAGGGGCCTGGCTGCCTTGGGGAGGGGGTGGGAGAGGAGAGGAAGCTGCTGCGGGGAGCGCACCGGGCTCCTGGATGCTCTGGGGTTGCAGCAAAGGAGCAGCAAGGAGTCAGAGCAGAGGGAGAGCCTGGGTTCACCTCCACTGAAGGGATCTCAGAGACCGGGAGGCTGCTGGGGGCTGCCCTGAGTGGGGGGAGGCTGTTGGAGACCCCCTGGTAGTGACCAGATGGGGCCCAGCCATTGGTGACGGCAAGGAGGAGACCGAGGCATCCTCCCTGCCCTGCGCGTGCACGCAGGTGAGTGTCCCCAGCCTGGTTCGTGATGGGCAGGCCTCATAAGGAGCTTTGGCAAAGCCCCACTGACCTGCCAATGTCCCTTTAAGACCGTGTGAAAGGTGAAAACGTACAGCACCGTGCGTGCGTGTCTGTGACACACGTGTGTGTGCACTTGCCAATGCTTTTAAGCTGGCCAGAGGCCTGCTAGAGACGATGCTATCGGCACAGGACGGTGCTCTTCCTGGTATAACCTGCATCTGGGGAATGGGCATTGCTGT